TAAAGCTACACTTGCGTTTCACACTGTTAAACATCACTAGTCTTACAACTCCATAGATTGTACTAGGCGTTTGATGAAGGTAATCTTTGCTGATTCTAACACTACCAAGGATATTACTTGCCAAAGGACTAAAACAGAAGCCATCGTAAATGTCGCGATAGCTCCTTTGATAATTCAAAATATCTAGTCTCTGTTACAAAAAATAACATACATCCCCTATGTATATCTGTATATCTATCGATGCGAGCAATCATGGCTCGGAAAAAATATTTCCGATTATGATCCAGTTTTTTGATTCTCAAGGTGGGATGCAGAAAAAGTTACTGGATGTCATTAACACGCCAAACCAGACTGCAGAAACAATATCTGATATTATTATGAAGACTTTGGAGAAGTACGACTTAACTGAAAAATATATCTCCCTACTAGCGAGTAATGCCAACGTAAATTTTGGAGGGATCAACAGATAAGCAGGAAGGAATGTGTTGACAAATGTTAAGAATAAACTAAATAAGAAGATTGTTGGAATTGGTTGCCCAGCACATATTTTGCATAATTGCATCCAACATGGTACTGATGTTCTAAAAATAGATATCGAATCGCTGGTGATGAAGATGATGAAGAATTTTTAATTTCTTTTCAGTACATACCGTGCGCACAGAACACTTAAAATCATTTTGTGAATACATTGATATCAATTACCAAAAGCTGCTTTAAGACAGTAAAACTAGGTGGTTGAGCCTTATTACAGCTATAGAATGAATATTGAAAATGTTAACATATCTCAAATCTGCCTCTATTTACTTTTCGACAACTCCGCAAGCACAACACTTAAATCTTCTTTCGAAAATAAACTCGTATAAAGTTATTTATTTTTTGTGCATTCTCTTATGTCGGTCTTCCAGTCAGATATCGCAAAAATAGAACGGTAAAATAACTCCGTCATGGATACTCTAGGAATATTAAATTCGACCTCTGAAGGCAAGGCAAGAGCAGAGGCTACGTTCGTTCCGTTAAAAGTGCGAGAATTGCTGTCGAATTGTACTGAACATTTATGAAAGATGTGAACAATGCCTACATGACTTACTTTGAATATTTGGACAAATGGTTGCAGGCACTAGACGAATTCAAGGTCTTCGACTGGATGATACTGAAAGGTGTTGATATTGATTACGATAAAATTGTTTCTTCTTTGCAGTTTTTGAATGGATACGGAGCGTGTTTAAATGACGTTAACTTTTTGATGAAATTACTGCATAAAATTATTTTTAAGGCAGCAAAGCAATGACTTTATTGAAATGGGGCCTGTTAAACAATAGAAAATTATTTTATAATCTGTAAACTGTGAAAGACTGGAGGAACTAAAGAAAATTTGCTGTTTTGTGTTTGCAATTAAAGCACAAAATGCTAATGTCGAACGAGTATTTTCATTAATGGGTGCGCAGTGGATAAAGGAGCGAAATAGACTGTCCACAGCTTCTGTTAGGGCTCTACAGTTGACACAGTTCAATCTGAAAAACACATCATGTGAAGAGTTTCATAAAATTGTTATGAAAGACCAGCACCTGCAGAAAGCTATATCCAGCAATAACAGGTACGAAGATCAGATGAATAATTAATCAATTAGTTGCGTGATAATTATTAGATTTCGTTCTTTGATTATTAGTCGTTCATGATTTGATTTTATTATAATATAATTTCTTATATTTTTCTCTTTTCTTAAAATACCTGACAATTTCCAATTTCCCTGTTTCCCTGACAGACAGCTAAAATTCCAGATATGTCAGAAAAATTCCTGTCATCTGGTAACCCTACGAGAATGCAACGTGTCACCGCGGCAGCGGCGGCCATGTTTACGTGAGAGTCAAAGAGTAAAACATTTGTATACGCAGACTCGACACTATCGACGTATAATATTAAGTAACTATGGATAGTAAAATAATAATATACGGGGTTATTTTGCAACAGAATTTGCAGAGATGGTTCAGAATAAGTAATATAGGCAAATGGTGAAGAAAAATTAATTAAAAAAATCTCAAACATTCTGTCCATTTTATTTTTTAAATTCAAAATGCGTGGTAATGCATTATTTTAACTGATTTTACTGCGCACGCACACATTCGTAAGGGTCGATCGGTAGGCAAAAACGTTATTGTCCATAAATCACATACAATTTATGATAATTTGAAATAAAGGTAGAAGCCTTATTTACTCGTATTTTCAAAAACTGCAATAACGGTACATCACTATTTATATATTTGAACTTAAGTTTAAAATGTTGCTACTCTTTGAAAAATAACCCTGTATAATCACGGTAGGAAATATTGATGAATTAAAATTAATATTTTATATTACTATTTGGATTTAAAGGTTTCCTTGGCCGTGTCATGAAACAAGAGAATCATGGATCAAATTCATTCAGAAGAATCACAGCGAAGAAACGTAGTTACCGTCAGATTATTCACGCATATGTATGTGGCGTGCATTTCAAAGAAAACGACAAATACACCACAAAAAATTTCAGAAAATACAATCACGAAATATTTATCTAAAGGAAAAATTTGGTTCTTACAATTGTACAAAATTTGAAACATAAATTCGGTTTCAATTTAAATGCTGATATTGATTTAATGACTAAAGCATAAGTTGTCGGGTTACATAAATATGGTTGTTCTGCTAACTTCGGTGCAGCTGAAATTTTGGGCTGTAAAGTATCTGATGTCAGTAATATGAAGACTTATTTTCCTCAATGTACGGGAGAAAAAGTTTGCATTTTGATAGACCTTTGCCATGTTATAAAACTAATAAGGAACACATTCGAGAAGTAAAGACTGTTATTCGATAATAATGACAAACGAATCAAATAGCAACTACTAATAAATCTCAATAAGCTTCAACATAATGCAGGTCTTGGATTCGGAAACAAGTTAACACCTTGTCATATAAATTTACGACAACAGATTTTGAAAGGAAAGCTTGCAACAGAGCTGCTGAGTACGAGTGTAGCAAAAGCTTTACTTCTATGTGATGAAGTTGGAAATTCGAGACAGTTTGAAGATTCATCAAGATTTTGACATTATGAATTCTAGAAAATGTAATTTCTATGGGTTTAAGCGTCGCTTCGACAGTTTTGCTAATCTCAAATATTTAAAGCTTGTCTGAAATATTTTCTCGTTTGGACAAAGTAAAATTCTTTATACTTGCATTGAAATTTAGTTCTCAATCAAGAAGAATAATTAAACGAACAAACCAGACCTCCAGAACATTTTTACAAATCTTAAAGAAAAAACATAGTTGACTCCGCTAACAAAACAGGATTCATTCGTGCCATAATATGTATTGAATGGCTTAAGACACTATACGTCTACATAATTGAAGAAAAGCAGATGCTTTGTTACATATCTATGTACCGGATAAGCGAGACCACCTAGAACTATTTTTGGGTTAATAAGAAGACATTGCCTCTACAATAACAATCCAAATATATTGCAATTCAGAGCAGCCTATAAAAAAGCCTTAAATCATCTTGAACTTCAGTCATCTTTTACAGGCAATTGCATCCCTCAAGTTCTACATCCGAAATAATAATTAACAGTACAGCCTGTTCAAATAGATATGACCAACAACTTTATGAAATATTACAAAGTACGTGATTGCTAACATCCAATTTGTATGCTGAAAATAATTGCGATATCTTTGCAACAATGCTTGACCACGAATCCTTTACATGTGAATCAAAATTGATAGTACGAGTAGGTTGTGTATCTGTTTATGTATCAAGACAATTAACAAAGAATATGTGAAGATTGCATTGACAGTTTGACCACAACAAATAAATATCCACATCATACACTTATAACTATAAAAAGATATACACAGAATAACAGACCACCCAGTCTATTTTATTCTGCAGAAGACGTGTACATAATATGCTTTTACTATGAATGATTGGCTACGGAAAAGATCATACGTAATTTAATACGGCAAAGCGGTGGAAGTCTTGCCTCGAAATATGATTTTAATTATAGTATAACCGTAAACGCCCTAAAGCATTTCATTGGAAAAGAAGTATTTGTAAATTTGAATCAACAATCACTGAATCAGCCATCAACATTCAATTACAGAATCCGATTAATTCGAGCCATTAGAGTATACAAAAATTAGATTGCATAACTGTGAATTACTATAGCAAACGGCAGAGACTTACTAAACTTATATTATTTAAAGGAGATTAAAATATTGTTACAGTTTAAATACTTTTTTATTTATTCCCTGAGTAAACACACACTTCCAATATCAAGTAGGCAGAGTAAAAAAAAGTATGTCGCATCTGCGCGCATTGATTGTTATCTGTGAGAACATAACACCTGCCGCTTGCCCCGCTGTCATCAAGTTAAACGCGCTATCTTTTGTTTGAAATAGGTACTCCAGAACGTAGTACATTATAACTCTTCTTCGTTCTAAAGAATTTACTTATCAATGTCTTAAATGGTTATACTGAAAATCATTCATAATCAATCAATATTTACAATCAATGAATTATGTAAGAACAAATCTAAGTAAAGACAAAGAATATTTTGTAAAAAAAAAAACAAAGTTCAGCTTATTTTATAAAGATATTTTTTTAAATATTACTTTATATTAGATAGATAGATATTTAGGATTTCCTTAGCCTTTTCAATAAACTTTAAATCAGCTTTTAAAGCCAATAATAAATCTATGATAATTAGTCGCAAAGTGACTTATAATAAATGTCAGTGTGACTTCTAAACACATGTCACGGTTATATCGCAATGTTTTGATTTATGATCTGATCATTAGTCATTACCATGCCCTTAAGTCAATCTCACTGTATATCTGTGAATGTAATAAAATGTATTATAAAATAGTAGGGACAATCAAATCGTATCCTAAGACGCCATTAATAAAATTAACCACGCCATACTTGTGGTTTATTTGATAAAAAATGTCCTTTTTTTTGTATAAAAAAATCAATAAAATTATGACGGTGGCCGCCAACCACCAAAACCGATTTCCAGCTGTTTTGCAACGGCTAAACAAAGTCTATCTTGATAAGGACCCGCAATAACCTGAAACAAAAAATATTTTAAATGTATTTAAGTTTTTTATACGTGGTTACTTTGACTTAAAAGATCCTGTAAAGGTGTAAATCTTAAGAGGAGAAATAAGTACAATCAAAATTTATTTATATATTAACTCAGAGATCAGAACAACAAATAAAGAGAGACGGAGCGCTATGTCTATTTCAAGTGATGACAATACCATGCTTAGCTTAATGTAAGAACACGCACTAATTACATGTTATGCGTCTAAAATAATTTGTTACCAAAATGGTTATGTGCATGTGTGCATCCATCAGAGGACTATTTTGGGATACTTCCAAAAAAAGAAAGAAAGAAAAAAGATGTGTGCGTTATTTGTTGAGTTGAGCATGGCTTCGGCGTTATTTAAAAAGTAAGCAGCGCTCCGTCTTCGTTTCTTTGTTGGTCCGAGAATATTAGCTAAAAAGTTGTATTACTAGAGGGTGGCTAAAGGAATTGAAGTTTTACCATGCTGTTTGTTTTTACCTTCCGTGGCTGATAATTTATTTTAACAAAAAATTTGTGATTTTTGTTTTTTCCTCATCAGTCACAAGCTTCTCCCGTTGTAGAGAGAATTTAACTTAAATTTCACGCTTGGTAGGCGCATTTACGATTGCAGTATCAAAAACAAGGACACCTTAGACGGTGCTGTCCGTCGACGGTCGCCATCTATCAGAAGCTTTGAGGTTTTTCACGAACTCAAGATGCCTACGAAATGAGGTGATGGGTATTGGGTACTCCTATGCCGCCACCTCACGGGCAAGAAAAGAATGGCCAAATACGCATCTCAATTTAAAAATGTTGTTAAGACTCGTGGTGTTACAGACACTTTTATTTAAAGTGAAAGACACAGCACGAGACATAACGGCATCTTAAAATTAAATAGAATATGAGTATTTGGACACAAAACACACTACTAAGTCTGTCAACTGATTTAAGTGTTGAGTGTTATTTATCGATATCGGTAAATAAAATATTAATCGCCAAAATATCGATTTTGATATCGATATACTCTTTCAAATATCGATCATTTGAAGAAATGCCTGTACATCGATAATATTTAGACAGATTCTCGGTGTAAATCAAATAAGGTTTACAAAGATTTTCTGAATAGTGGAAATTATATTAATTAATACTATCGTAGAATATTTATTAACTCTTTTATGACGATCAGCCGATACTAGCACGGTGGCGGGCAGGCCGAGCACGTTGAGCGGCATGCTGTGCAGCACTGTACAGCAGTGTGCAGTGTGCAGTGTGCGAGCTAGTGTTGCGGTACCTGCACGGCGACGGGCAGGCCGGCGTGCAGTCCGAGCGGCGCCACGGTGGCGGGCAGGCCGAGCACGTTGAGCGGCATGCTGTGCAGCACTGTACAGCAGTGTGCAGTGTGCAGTGTGCGAGCTAGTGTTGCGGTACCTGCACGGCGACGGGCAGGCCGGCGTGCAGTCCGAGCGGCGCCACGGTGGCGGGCAGGCCGAGCACGTTGAGCGGCATGCTGTGCAGCACTGTACAGCAGTGTGCAGTGTGCAGTGTGCGAGCTAGTGTTGCGGTACCTGCACGGCGACGGGCAGGCCGGCGTGCAGTCCGAGCGGCGCCACGGTGGCGGGCAGGCCGAGCACGTTGAGCGGCATGCTGTGCAGCACTGTACAGCAGTGTGCAGTGTGCAGTGTGCGAGCTAGTGTTGCGGTACCTGCACGGCGACGGGCAGGCCGGCGTGCAGTCCGAGCGGCGCCACGGTGGCGGGCAGGCCGAGCACGTTGAGCGGCATGCTGTGCAGCACTGTACAGCAGTGTGCAGTGTGCAGTGTGCGAGCTAGTGTTGCGGTACCTGCACGGCGACGGGCAGGCCGGCGTGCAGTCCGAGCGGCACCACGGTGGCGGGCAGGCCGAGCACGTTGAGCGGCATGCTGTGCAGCACTGTACAGCAGTGTGCAGTGTGCAGTGTGCGAGCTAGTGTTGCGGTACCTGCACGGCGACGGGCAGGCCGGCGTGCAGTCCGAGCGGCACCACGGTGGCGGGCAGGCCGAGCACGTTGAGCGGCATGCTGTGCAGCACTGTACAGCAGTGTGCAGTGTGCGAGCTAGTGTTGCGGTACCTGCACGGCGACGGGCAGGCCGGCGTGCAGTCCGAGCGGCGCCACGGTGGCGGGCAGGCCGAGCACTTTGAGCGACATGCTGTGCAGCACTGTACAGCAGTGTGCAGTGTGCAGTGTGCGAGCTAGTGTTGCGGTACCTGCACGGCGACGGGCAGGCCGGCGTGCAGTCCGAGCGGCGCCACGGTGGCGGGCAGGCCGAGCACGTTGAGCGGCATGCTGTGCAGCACTGTACAGCAGTGTGCAGTGTGCAGTGTGCGAGCTAGTGTTGCGGTACCTGCACGGCGACGGGCAGGCCGGCGTGCAGTCCGAGCGGCACCACGGTGGCGGGCAGGCCGAGCACGTTGAGCGGCATGCTGTGCAGCACTGTACAGCAGTGTGCAGTGTGCAGTGTGCGAGCTAGTGTTGCGGTACCTGCACGGCGACGGGCAGGCCGGCGTGCAGTCCGAGCGGCACCACGGTGGCGGGCAGGCCGAGCACGTTGAGCGGCATGCTGTGCAGCACTGTACAGCAGTGTGCAGTGTGCAGTGTGCGAGCTAGTGTTGCGGTACCTGCACGGCGACGGGCAGGCCGGCGTGCAGTCCGAGCGGCGCCACGGTGGCGGGCAGGCCGAGCACGTTGAGCGGCATGCTGTGCAGCACTGTACAGCAGTGTGCAGTGTGCAGTGTGCGAGCTAGTGTTGCGGTACCTGCACGGCGACGGGCAGGCCGGCGTGCAGTCCGAGCGGCGCCACGGTGGCGGGCAGGCCGAGCACGTTGAGCGGCATGCTGTGCAGCACTGTACAGCAGTGTGCAGTGTGCAGTGTGCGAGCTAGTGTTGCGGTACCTGCACGGCGACGGGCAGGCCGGCGTGCAGTCCGAGCGGCGCCACGGTGGCGGGCAGGCCGAGCACGTTGAGCGGCATGCTGTGCAGCACTGTACAGCAGTGTGCAGTGTGCAGTGTGCGAGCTAGTGTTGCGGTACCTGCACGGCGACGGGCAGGCCGGCGTGCAGTCCGAGCGGCGCCACGGTGGCGGGCAGGCCGAGCACGTTGAGCGGCATGCTGTGCAGCACTGTACAGCAGTGTGCAGTGTGCAGTGTGCGAGCTAGTGTTGCGGTACCTGCACGGCGACGGGCAGGCCGGCGTGCAGTCCGAGCGGCGCCACGGTGGCGGGCAGGCCGAGCACGTTGAGCGGCATGCTGTGCAGCACTGTACAGCAGTGTGCAGTGTGCAGTGTGCGAGCTAGTGTTGCGGTACCTGCACGGCGACGGGCAGGCCGGCGTGCAGTCCGAGCGGCGCCACGGTGGCGGGCAGGCCGAGCACGTTGAGCGGCATGCTGTGCAGCACTGTACAGCAGTGTGCAGTGTGCAGTGTGCGAGCTAGTGTTGCGGTACCTGCACGGCGACGGGCAGGCCGGCGTGCAGTCCGAGCGGCACCACGGTGGCGGGCAGGCCGAGCACGTTGAGCGGCATGCTGTGCAGCACTGTACAGCAGTGTGCAGTGTGCAGTGTGCGAGCTAGTGTTGCGGTACCTGCACGGCGACGGGCAGGCCGGCGTGCAGTCCGAGCGGCACCACGGTGGCGGGCAGGCCGAGCACGTTGAGCGGCATGCTGTGCAGCACTGTACAGCAGTGTGCAGTGTGCGAGCTAGTGTTGCGGTACCTGCACGGCGACGGGCAGGCCGGCGTGCAGTCCGAGCGGCGCCACGGTGGCGGGCAGGCCGAGCACTTTGAGCGACATGCTGTGCAGCACTGTACAGCAGTGTGCAGTGTGCAGTGTGCGAGCTAGTGTTGCGGTACCTGCACGGCGACGGGCAGGCCGGCGTGCAGTCCGAGCGGCGCCACGGTGGCGGGCAGGCCGAGCACGTTGAGCGGCATGCTGTGCAGCACTGTACAGCAGTGTGCAGTGTGCAGTGTGCGAGCTAGTGTTGCGGTACCTGCACGGCGACGGGCAGGCCGGCGTGCAGTCCGAGCGGCACCACGGTGGCGGGCAGGCCGAGCACGTTGAGCGGCATGCTGTGCAGCACTGTACAGCAGTGTGCAGTGTGCAGTGTGCGAGCTAGTGTTGCGGTACCTGCACGGCGACGGGCAGGCCGGCGTGCAGTCCGAGCGGCACCACGGTGGCGGGCAGGCCGAGCACGTTGAGCGGCATGCTGTGCAGCACTGTACAGCAGTGTGCAGTGTGCAGTGTGCGAGCTAGTGTTGCGGTACCTGCACGGCGACGGGCAGGCCGGCGTGCAGTCCGAGCGGCACCACGGTGGCGGGCAGGCCGAGCACGTTGAGCGGCATGCTGTGCAGCACTGTACAGCAGTGTGCAGTGTGCAGTGTGCGAGCTAGTGTTGCGGTACCTGCACGGCGACGGGCAGGCCGGCGTGCAGTCCGAGCGGCGCCACGGTGGCGGGCAGGCCGAGCACGTTGAGCGGCATGCTGTGCAGCACTGTACAGCAGTGTGCAGTGTGCAGTGTGCGAGCTAGTGTTGCGGTACCTGCACGGCGACGGGCAGGCCGGCGTGCAGTCCGAGCGGCGCCACGGTGGCGGGCAGGCCGAGCACGTTGAGCGGCATGCTGTGCAGCACTGTACAGCAGTGTGCAGTGTGCAGTGTGCGAGCTAGTGTTGCGGTACCTGCACGGCGACGGGCAGGCCGGCGTGCAGTCCGAGCGGCGCCACGGTGGCGGGCAGGCCGAGCACGTTGAGCGGCATGCTGTGCAGCACTGTACAGCAGTGTGCAGTGTGCAGTGTGCGAGCTAGTGTTGCGGTACCTGCACGGCGACGGGCAGGCCGGCGTGCAGTCCGAGCGGCGCCACGGTGGCGGGCAGGCCGAGCACGTTGAGCGGCATGCTGTGCAGCACTGTACAGCAGTGTGCAGTGTGCAGTGTGCGAGCTAGTGTTGCGGTACCTGCACGGCGACGGGCAGGCCGGCGTGCAGTCCGAGCGGCGCCACGGTGGCGGGCAGGCCGAGCACGTTGAGCGGCATGCTGTGCAGCACTGTACAGCAGTGTGCAGTGTGCAGTGTGCGAGCTAGTGTTGCGGTACCTGCACGGCGACGGGCAGGCCGGCGTGCAGTCCGAGCGGCGCCACGGTGGCGGGCAGGCCGAGCACGTTGAGCGGCATGCTGTGCAGCACTGTACAGCAGTGTGCAGTGTGCAGTGTGCGAGCTAGTGTTGCGGTACCTGCACGGCGACGGGCAGGCCGGCGTGCAGTCCGAGCGGCGCCACGGTGGCGGGCAGGCCGAGCACGTTGAGCGGCATGCTGTGCAGCACTGTACAGCAGTGTGCAGTGTGCAGTGTGCGAGCTAGTGTTGCGGTACCTGCACGGCGACGGGCAGGCCGGCGTGCAGTCCGAGCGGCGCCACGGTGGCGGGCAGGCCGAGCACGTTGAGCGGCATGCTGTGCAGCACTGTACAGCAGTGTGCAGTGTGCAGTGTGCGAGCTAGTGTTGCGGTACCTGCACGGCGACGGGCAGGCCGGCGTGCAGTCCGAGCGGCGCCACGGTGGCGGGCAGGCCGAGCACGTTGAGCGGCATGCTGTGCAGCACTGTACAGCAGTGTGCAGTGTGCAGTGTGCGAGCTAGTGTTGCGGTACCTGCACGGCGACGGGCAGGCCGGCGTGCAGTCCGAGCGGCGCCACGGTGGCGGGCAGGCCGAGCACGTTGAGCGGCATGCTGTGCAGCACTGTACAGCAGTGTGCAGTGTGCAGTGTGCGAGCTAGTGTTGCGGTACCTGCACGGCGACGGGCAGGCCGGCGTGCAGTCCGAGCGGCGCCACGGTGGCGGGCAGGCCGAGCACGTTGAGCGGCATGCTGTGCAGCACTGTACAGCAGTGTGCAGTGTGCAGTGTGCGAGCTAGTGTTGCGGTACCTGCACGGCGACGGGCAGGCCGGCGTGCAGTCCGAGTGGCGCCACGGTGGCGGGCAGGCCGAGCACGTTGAGCGGCATGCTGTGCAGCACTGTACAGCAGTGTGCAGTGTGCAGTGTGCGAGCTAGTGTTGCGGTACCTGCACGGCGACGGGCAGGCCGGCGTGCAGTCCGAGCGGCGCCACGGTGGCGGGCAGGCCGAGCACGTTGAGCGGCATGCTGTAGAGCACGCCGGACGCGCGCGTGTACACGCGCCCGTGCTCGTGCGCCAGCCCGCAGTGAGCAGGGTACAGCAGCACGCCGTTGGTGCCCAGTGTACTCTGTCGAAGCACAGTCCATTGTACATGTGTTTACTAAATACGAGCAGTATTAGCGTAGCCAAAAACTATAATTTAATTATTTTCGCCGAGCCTATTTGAATCTATAATAGTTATAGTAAGATTTTATTTAATTGCAACCTACTTAGAAACCTTATTAACTAATTTTGAATTGCGGTTTAAAAGACTCATTTTATATATTTTAAGTGACAAAAACTCATCTTAGCGACGTTCTACAACGAATGATATCAAAACATCGCCAAGAGATGAGTGGCAAAGACGTTCTACGAAGTAGTGATATGACATAAAAATATCGATATTTATATCGAAGGACAGCAAATACTAGTAAAATATATATCGCATCCTAAAACGCGATATTATCCATATTTTAGTAATTTTCATTAGGTACAATCATTTATTAAAAAAATATCTATGGTTATGATTTGAGACAAATCAAACCAGCAAAAACACTATGAAATCATATTTCCCAATTCGATCTACCCATGTAACGCAAGAGCAATAATTTTGAAGTTTTTTTAGCAGCCTGTTTTTTTTTATAGGAGTGGGGGCAAACGAGCATGTGACTCACCTGATGGTAAGTGACTACCGCCGCCCATGAACAACTGCAACACCAGGGGAATCGCAGATGCGTTGCCGGCCTTTTAAAAAAGAGTAGGCTCTTTTCTTGAAGGTCCCTAAGTCGTATCGGTCCGGAAAAATCGCTGGTGGTAATCGATTCCACAAGGAAGTTGTGCGAGGGAGAAAACTTCTTCTGAATCGCACAGTGGTGGACCGCCAATCATCCAGATGATATGCATGGTATCGCGAATTTTGTTGCGATGTGCGATGGTGAAATTGAGCGGCTGGAATTAGTCCGAACAATTCCTCAGAGCACTCCCCGTGGTAGATGCGATAAAACACGAAAAGAGATGCAACATCTCTACGCAGTGCCAGTGAGTCAAGCCGATCGGAAAGAACTCGGTCGTCATCGATTCGAACCGCTCTGCATTGGATGCGGTCAAGTGGAAGGAGCTGGCACTGGGGAGCCCCTGCCCAGATATGGGAATAGTACTCCATGTGAGGCCGAACCTGCACCTTGTAAAGTTGCAAGCGGTGTGCCCGCATAAAATACTGTCCCGCTCTGCTGAGCACGCCAAGCTTTTTAGAGGCCAATTTGGCCTTCTCTTCCAAGTGAACACGAAACTGCACGTTACTCGATATGTCGACACCGAGGATACCGATACTGGCTGAGGCAACAAGGGGAGTGCCTTGAAACTGAGGAGATACGACAAAGCGATTCTTTTTGGCGGTAAACGCGCAAACTTGTGTCTTTTGGGGATTGAACTGGACTAGATTTAGTCGCCCCCAGTCTGAGACTTTGTTCAACAAAGTTTCGACTTCAGACAGAAGTTTGTTCCGGTACTAGGCGACGTTTTCCCGAGAAATATTGGCACGGCCAGTGTATAAAGCATCACCAGTGCTGTCGTCTGCATAGCAATGAATATTACTGGTTTGCAACATATCATTGATATGCAGAAGAAACAGCGTTGGTGATAGCAAGCAGCCTTGTGGAACACCAGAGTTAATGGGCTTGTAATCGGAGCATGCACCGTCTACTACAACTTTGATGCTCCGATCTGCAAGAAAACTGGTGATCCAATCGCACAATTTCTCGAGAAGCCCATAGGTAAGCAGCTTCGAAAGAAGCGCTTTGTGCCAAACCCGATCGAAAGCCTTGGCTATGTCCAAACTAATGGCCAACGCCTCCCCCTTGGACTCCACAGCCTCCGCCCATGTATGAGTCAGGTAGACCAGAAGATCACCAGCTGAGCGAACTCGACGGAAACCGTACTGGCGGTCACTAATCAGCTGGTGATCCTCAAGGTACCGCATGAGCTGGCTGTTGATAATCGTTTCCATTACTTTGGAGAACAAGGTGATAGAGATAGGCCTGTAGTTGGACGGATCTGAGCGGTCGCCTTTTTTTAGAGATCGGGTGCACCAAAGCTGTCTTCCATGAGTTCGGGACTACGCCTAGGGAGTAGGAGTACCGAAAAACTCCGGTCAAGTCAACTCCGGAGCACACGTCTTCAGCACAATAGGCGGGACTCCATCAGGCCACTCGACTTGTTGACGTCCAGGGAGAGGAGTGCTTTACGCACCAAGCGCTGTGTAAACAGCACGTCCCGCATGGAGCACTCACACCGCGAGATGGTCGGCGGTGTGTTCCCCCCGTCATCTAGAGTCGAGTTGGAAGCAAACAGAGAGCCTAGCTGATCGGCTTTCTCCTTTGCGTCATGGGCCAATGAGTCATCCACCCTGTGCAAAGATGGCAGAGATGGCTGACAGAAGTTACTTTGGACAGCCTTGGCGAGAGACCAGAATGCACGTGTTCCCGAAGGGAGGCGAACTAGTTTCTCGCCAATTCTGCCGATGTGCTCTGACTTTGCCTTGGCAATGACACTTTTGAAGGACCTGGAGGCGGAATTATACTTCTTTTTAAGAGCGCTGGTGTTTACATCCCAGGAAGTTGATGCGTCAGCCCAGGCCTGGTAGCACTCCTGCTTATAGTGTGATGCTATTTTACAGGAGCGACCAAACCATGGCTGGGATCTGCCTCCGATGGGCACCACCACAGAGGATGGAATAAAAAGTTCCATACCCTGAAGTACCACATCAGCAACAGAATCGGCAACAACGCTGGGATCTTCAGTCGAGAAGCAAACCCGCCCCCAAGGGTAGGATGCAAAAAAAAGACCGCATCCCGTTCCAATCGGCCGACCTATAGTGTCAAACACGGCGGCAAGCTGCAGATCGCACCTGCGATGGGAGCGCGTGTGGCACTGTGCTTCGGATCAGACAATGGTCCGAAGAGCCCAGAGGGGCATTAACGGAGACCTGATATCCGTCCGGATGAGAGGTCAGCAGAAGGTCCAACAGGGATGGTACATGATCCTCCACATCTGGGATCCGCATAGGCGAAGTAACCAGTTGTTTTAGACCATATGCCAAGGCAAATTCATAGACAGATCTACCCGCATGATCGGTTAAACAAGAACCAAGCCATTCAGCGTGGTGGGCGTTAAAGTCACCGAGTATCACGATCTCTGCGGATGGGACCTGTTGTAGTCGTTCTGTGTCAGCATTACCGCTATGGGACCTATAGAGGCACCCGTAGACGCGGGGATGGTCGTTGCTGTTTACGCGCAGCCATAGGATGGACAGGTCCGTATCTTCAAGACTGCCGAGACGTCGAAAACAGATGTCCTCTCTGACGTATACGCAAACTCCAGCCCGGGGCACAAAGGAGTTTTCTAATTTGTACCCTGGGTAGGAGAGATATGAAGTATCAGCCGGAGAGGACACCTGAGTCTCGGTTAAAAAGAGCAAGGCCAGCTTCGCCGTCTCTAGATGGTAATGGACAGCGTTAAGATTGGAATGAAGTCCCCTGATATTGCAAAAATTCACGGATAGCGTGAAAGGGGTCGCCTTGGTCTTATTGCTCCGCTTGCCCCAAGCAGTATTAGTCGCGAGCGGAATTTTGCCCCCCCCCCCCCCCCCCAGAATACGCGGGGCAGCCTGAGCACCCACGCCGAGGAGTGGAGTAGTTTAGTCACTCTATCAAATCCGGAGGTAAGGTCTCATCATACCTAACAAAACGAGCCCAAACTCGGTACATCTAGTTCTCCTCGTCGAGGAGTTCCAGTAGCAGATACCGACACACCTTCAGGTCTATAAAGTCCAAGACGTATAAGTATATTTATATATAAATCTTGCGTGCTTTTAGCTAAACAAAATATTGTAATAAAAATCTGTGACTATAAAAATAATAATAATACCTTATTTTGGTCAAGTATGTATCTGGTTTTTGGAATATTTTGTATTTCTATGGCGATCGATATATTTCTGCACGAGCCCCTGTAACAAATGACCACTCACGACGGCATTTGAGTTTGACCCCGGAGTAAATAAAGTACTCTGTGGTTGTGGCTCTGAGTGCGGTTGCGGCCTATTTAGTAAAATAAATAGATACAAGACTCTCAAACCACCGAAAATTTCGCCATTTCTTAGTCGAAAAAAATTAATTATTGTTACGGCCTACGGCTGCTCCCTTAAAGGATCAGATCCCCAGGGGCCCATGAGCTGAAGACCTCCCGAGCAGACGTAGGTCGGGCCTTAATCGTGGCCACGTGGAATCTCTCTAATTACACTAAATATATGGGGGAGCGTTCTATACTACGGCCAGTCAACCGGCAGAGGAATTAGGCGAAGCTTACTTACCTATATCCAAGGCGACTGGTCCCTCCGGAGTCGGTCAGGTCACATGTGGTTGTGTAGTGAAAGGGAAATAAGTGATGTGATGTGTATCTGGGTGTGACTGATGGTGATTGAACCTAGACCTTGGCCGTCGGTAGCAGCCCGAGCGTCGACACCGCTCCAACTTGAGGGGGCCCTCCGAGGCATCCACAGTCACTTTCCTCTTTCTTCACGATGACAGTCAATTAACTCTATCGTACGATTTACTAACTTACAGAAACCACTAACTATCGCTAGGTATAATGGTTACCGCACAAACGCACACGGAGTTTAAAGGGTCAAAGGTCACTACCGTTTCGCGTAGCAATAGTTAATTCTAGAATATCCGAGGCCGCACTATCTAATATTGCCGAATGCACTTATGCAGGTTCTGAGTCAGACACAATAAGTCCCGGGAAGCTCTCCAGTAGGAATGCGCGTCACAAATCCTAGACCGTATATTTACGGGCCGCACCTAATTATTCCGAGTTCCCTAACAGAATGGACCGCGTGCTCACGTCAGCACCGATTAAAGACGACTCACTGCCCTTGGGCGTTTTTCGCACGACCGAAAGTCAAACCGGTATGAATGCACCGCGCCGAGCGCCCTCTCGCGTCAATCCTTGAAAGTGTTTTGCGCGAACAATTATAATTAAACAGAACAAAATTAAATTGCCATTTACATTCCATGATTTCCCACATGATAG